CAAAGTTGCCCCCCGCAGTCACCCGTTTCCTGATGACTTGTGGGGTTTCACCAAAGGAAGAAATGGAACACGGCAATGTACTACTACTACTAATAATTTTTAAAAAGAGGATGTAGGGGTTGGAAAGCAGATTCTTGCAATGGGAAGTCATAGGGCCAGCCCCCAACATCTCAAAATTCTGAGTCAGGCCTGCAAAAATCTCGAATTGGGGGAGGGAGGATTATTTGCCTTCTAGTTTCTGAGACTTTAGGGTTCACATTCCCTGGCTTTTCTGCTTAGCCCTGAGGCCTAGAAACTCTCTTTATTCTTTATTTACATGAAAGCTGAGATTCTCTTGTAATCACATGATTCTAGGGGTTGAACCATTAAGAAAAACACCAAATATCACAAGAGTTGTCAGAAAATGGCCGGAGCTGGCAATGGCGTGGAAAGGAGGTTTCTCAGTGCCCCGCGTGAGAAGCTGGATTCACGCAAGGTGAGACAGGCCAGCATGGGGCACCCCAGAAGAGAATTCACCCTTGGGGGGGGAGTGGAGGATGGGAAGCAGTGGTACCGACATTGCTGTTAGAGCAGTGAAGTACTGGAGTTAAGGGTAACTGCAGGTTTACCCACTTCTCATTTGGGGAATATGGAGGTTAGATTAATTTACCCATTTCTTTTTTCTTTTTCTTTTTTTTTACCATCACATCACTGGAGGTGCGACTCCTGGGCTGTTCCCGGGGAAGATGCTCTTGGGGAAACATGCTGAACCCCTCCCCACGCCGGTTATGCCCTTTTTTCCCGCTAGCACCATCCAGTTTGGGGGTAACGCAGGCAGCCTGCAGCAGTCCCTGACCCAGGAGAAATTGCAGCCTCTTTGCACTCCTACAATCTCGCAATCCAGCAGGTGTTCCAGATGGACTTCGCTGCTGGAATCTTGTAGCTCCTGGCATGAATTTGTCCAGTGCTGGATTTGCTATTTACCCTGCTTCACAAAATCCAGCTGACTTAGATATGATATGCTAGACAAACACAGTCTGTACCAGGGGTGGGCAAACTTTTTGGCCCGAGGGCCACATCTGGGTATGGAAATTGTATGACGGGCCATGAATGCTCACGAAACTGGGGGGCTCTGGGGTAGGGCCAGAAATGAGGAGCTCAGGGTGCGGGAGGGGACTCCAGGCTGGGGCAGGGGGTTGGGGTACAGGTGGGAGGGTGAGGGCTCCAGCTGGGGGTGCAGGTGCTGGGGTGCAGGAGGGTGGGACTGAGGGGTTCAGAGAGTGGGAGGGGGATCAGGGCTGGGGCAGGGGTCGTGGGGCTGGAGGGGATCAGGAGTGCAGGCTCCAGGTGGCGCTTACCTCAAGCAGCTCCCGGAAGCAGCGGCATGTCCCCCCTCCGGCTCCTATGCAGAGGCACGGCCAGGAGGCTCTGTGCGCTGCCCCATCCACAGGTGCCGCCCCTCAGCTCCCATTGGCTGCGGTTGCCGCCCAATGGGAGCTGCGGGGGCAGCACTTGGGGCGGGGGCAGTGTGCGGAGCCCCCTGGCTGGCCCTACATGTAGGAGCCAGAGGGGGGACATGCTGCTGCTTCCGCGAGCCGCGCGGAGCCACAGCACAGGTGGAGTGAGGCAAGCCCTGGACCTCGCTCCCTGGCAGGAGCTCGAGGGCCAGATTTAAATGTCTGAAGGGCCGGATGCAGCCCCCAGGCCATAGTTTGCCCACCCCTGGTCTATACAGTGGGGAGGCAAGTTTTAAAGATAACTTAGGTCTGCACTGTTCAGAGCTTTGTATGTCGTGAATTCCACCCAGCAGTCAGTTGTCAGCCAGTAAAAAAAACAGTGAATTGATGATAGATGGCTCATCGACCTAGGGCACAAATGTAAAACCAGATCCAGGGGCTGGAATTTGAAGCTGGACAAGTTTAAACAAATATTTAGCAGTGAGGGTCATTAACGCTGAAATAACGTACCAAGGGCTGGCATCTTCTCCATCACTGGCAATTTTTAAAATCCAGATCAGATGCTTTCCTAAAGGCTAGGCTCTAATTCAAACAGGAATTAATTCAGGGTGGTCCTAAGGCCCATTTTACACAGGAGATCAGACTAGAGGCATGTCTACACTTAAAATGCTGCATCCGCACAGCCGCACCAATATAGCTGCACTGCTGTAGCGCTTTAATGAAGACACTCCGAGGCTTTGTCTGCACTACAGACCTCACAGTGGCACAGCCGTAGCTACATCGCTGTAAGGTCTCCCGTGTAGCCGCTCTATGCCGGCAGGAGAGATTTTCACCCCCCTGAGTGATGTAGGTCTGTAGTGTAGACCTCGATGATCACACTGGTTCCATCTGGCCATATAAGCTATGAAATGTCATGCTCTTGCCTGCCCCACGCAGAAGGACCGCAGCTGCTTTCTGGCCTAAACCCGAGCTTCCAGGTGGCTTTCATGGCTAGGGCCAGCCCCAGCCCATTGCATTAGAGGTAACGAAGGCGTGGATTGCCAAGGTAAGAGCTGCCTCTGAGAGGAAGGGGTGTAGTCACTTGGCCAGCCCTAAATGAAAGAATGTTCTTGTGGCTTATGCAATCTGGGAGTCTTGGATCCGTGATACATACACAAAGGGAAGGGCTGCTCCCTGGTTTCCTCCTGATCCCTGCCTCCTACCAACTAACCACAGCCCACAGAGGGCAAAGCCCTTTCAGTGCATACTCTTTTTCTAAGGAAATTTGATTTGCAAGAGTCCTGAGCAAAGCTGAGTAATAGCTAGGGTGATCAGACAGCAAGTGTGAAAAATCGGGACAGAGGGTGGGGGGTAATCGGAGCCTATATAAGAAAAAGCCCCAAATATCGGGACTGTCCCTATAAAATAGGGACATCTGGTCACCCTAGTGATAGCTTCCCAATAACACACGCTTTCCTGGGCCAGGCTCATGTTGCATTTCCTATTTATACTCAGCGACTTCAGTATCTAAAGCTACGGTTTGTGATTAGAGCAGTGCCACCTCCTTGTCGCAAGAGCACCATCTACTCTTTGGCTTTGAAACACCTTAGATGCATAAGCTTACATCTCAGCATCAGTCATATTTATTTGTATTACTGTAGTGCCTGGGAGTCCAGCCAACGTCAGGGTCCCATTGTGCTAGGGGCTGCACGTACAGGTAGTAAGAGACAGGCCCTGTTCCAAAGACCTTACAATCAAAACAGACAAAAGAAATGATTTCTGTTTTACAGATGGGGATCTGAGGGCCAGTGAAATTAAATGATTTGCACAAGAAGTCTGTAGCAAAGTAAAAACCTGAACCCAGATATTTTGAGCCTTGGTCCAGTACCCTAACCCAAAGAACTTCTTTCCTCTCATTTGGTGATCTTAGCCCTTCATCCTTTGTGCTTTTTTGGGGGGCAGGGGGCTCTCTGTCAGCTGCCACCCCATCTGACCCAGGTGGACTTTCAAGTTTTCAGAGCACTTTCTGTAAGAGAGATGCGGCGTTTGTCTCGAGGCAAAATTTCCACCCCACCTGTGCAATGGGTTATGTGGCGGCTGGTTGCCAGAAGTGGCTGCATGTCTGTATATTTGCCGTGAAGCACTGTGAGATCATTCAGGATGAAAGGCGCTGTGGAAATGGAAGATGTGCTAAAATGAAGAATACTTGGATCAAAGTGGGTCAGTTTTGAAACTATAATTCTACAAATTCCATTGGCAACGAGCACCAGGCAAAATGAATGCAGGATAGTTATTTCTGTGATGAGTTTGCTAATACAGGGATATAAAGGTTGATGTTATGTTCTTTGATGGATGTTTCAGGGAGGATGCATTGATCCCCTGACTCTTGGCTTAGGTCTCTATTTATATGTTAACGGTAAAAATCAATTTAAAATAATTGTTACAACACCTATTTTATTTGTACACATGGAAAGAGATCAGAGGGATTGGAAACCGCCTTAGGACCTGCAATTCGCCAACCCTTCTAATTCTCAAACCTTAGGATGCATCCACATCTGCCTGGCTGCGGGTGAAACCCCAAAACCCTCTTCCAAAGGAAGGTGAATGGCCTATGTGCCAGGGCCAGAGGGGTGGCAACACAACATTTTGTTGGTGGAGGCCAGACACTTTAACGCCAAACCTCTCAGGCTGACCGTCAATCAATCTGAAGTGTAGACAAGCCCTTAGACAGCCAAGTGATAAAGTGCCTTGGCCAGTCTAGATAGGTCCAGCTGTCAGGAGAGGGAGTAGATGAGAGGAGGCAGAACATTTCTGACCCTCTCCTGCCGCCTAGAGTTCACGGCAGGCTTCAGAGAGAGAGAGAGAGCGAGAGCTCTCGGGCTGATCAAACCACAGTTTTAAAGGCCCAATCCCAACTACCCACAGGGGCCGTGGGAGGCAGCTCCCAGCTGGTCCTATCTATGGTGTAATGGCCAGAGGAGCCGTGGGTGGCAGGAGGGGGAGCCACTGGGAAACCGATCATGGCTGCCCAATAAAAATCTCCATGTGCTGCGCCCGCACAGCTGCCGGCCCCGGAGTTGCTGAACTTTAGGGCTCGTGGGTTGGCGAAGGAGCCTCGCTCGCTATCATCCCGGCAGGGACCCGGCGTGCGCCTTAGCGCGCTGCGCCCCTGGGGCTCCGCAAGGCGGAGGCGCACGAAGCCCCTGTGCGCGCTGCTCTCTCCCCCTTCTCCAGCTGCTAGTGATGTGGGGCCGATCTCCCTTCCCTAGCTAGTGCATCTCCCTGCGCCCCACGCCTAGGCACTAATCTCTCCCCGCACCCACCCACTTCTCCTCCTCCTCCTCCTCCTCTCCCCCGGCGCCTGCCCCTTCCCGGGACTCCACGGAGCGTCCCCAGCAGCCGCGGGTCCCGGGCGCCCCCCGCTCGCCAGTCCCGCCGCGCCCCTCTCGGAGGGGGCAGGAGAGTGATGGTCGGCTCCGCTCAGGTCCAAGTGGTTGAAAGGTGAATCCGCCTCCATTTCCGCCCGGCGACGGAGCCCTGCCCACCACAGGGAGCAGAGGGAGCCGGCGCACCGCCACTCCGGGCGCAGCAGGGCTGGGGGACGCCTGCAAAATGGTCAGCTCCGCTGGGGAGACTGCAGTGGTCGCGCTGGGTAGGTCGAGCCCCTTGGCGCTGGGCGCCTCTGCCTGGCTTTGTTCTCTCACTTTCTCTCCTTTTCCTCACTTTCCCCCTCTTCCGTGCCTTCCCTTCTCCCTCGGTCACTTTATTTCCCGCTTTCCCTCTCCTGCATTCTCCACTTTGCCTCGCTCCTTCCCTTTCCCTCTGCTCCTTTCCCCCTCTTCCTTCCCCCCACCCCCGTTCCAGCCCTCCGTTCGCTCGCTTCTTTCCAAACTCCCTTTCTCAGGTGGCATGCTCCGGTCCATGCCTTCGCTCCTGCGTACAGCCAGAAACACACACGCTTGCTTTGGCTTCTTTCTCTGGTTCCCATGGAAAGAGAACTCTGACCCCAGCCTATTCAACTGCTGCTCCTTTAAGGGGTGGGAGTGGCGGGGGGATTAAATGAATCAAGGGGACTTGGGGGTTAATTATATAAGCAGGAGAACAAAATTAAAACCTTGCTCTCTGTGTGTGTGGTGATGGGGGGAGAATCCAAGCTTTTGGGGTGTTCTCATTTGTGGGGGGAGGGGGTTCTCCCCCCCTCCAAACCCCGGAATTGCTGAGAGATGGAATATGGTACTTGCTAATCACTCATCTAGAAGATCTAACTTTTTTTCAGCCAGCTACAATTTCCTTACCCCTCACCTGTGCCCATTCAGTGCCCCAAACCTTTATGTCCAGTTTGCAATGTGTCTCTCTCCTTGATGGCTTTTAAGAGGGTGTTCTCCCAATTGTTTTATGACAAGGCTGAATAAGGAGGCTGGAATGTCAGTCCAGTGTGTGTGAGATCCCTTGTGGGGTTTTTTTTTTCCCCCCTCTGGAGTTTGTGCTTGTCAACAAGCAGTTGGCTGAGAATTTAACAACGCAAATACCTTTAGGTATCTTTTGCTTGCCTATTTATTTCCTGTGTGGCTTTCCTCCGGCATGTTTGCTCTCCACTGGGTCTGGTTGGCACCAGATGATTAGCAATGTTTGTTTAAAATTTAAACTAGGTGTGTAACGAGCGCTGGGCAACTTAAAGCAAGATCATGACACAAAATTTAGTGTGTGTGTGTGTGTGTCAGCCACAAGAGGAGAGTTTTTGTTACATATTGAACATAATTGGTGTTGGTCCTGCTTTGAGCAGGGGATTGGACTAGATGATCTCTTGAAGTCTCTTCCAACCCTAATCTTCTAAGATTCTATGAACTGAAGCATGTTTCCCCTATTGCACTGGAAACATGTATGTTTATTTCCCTTGTAACTGAAAGAGCCCCTGTGAAAAGTGGAATATTAAGGTTCCAATCCTGTAAAGGGTTAACCCCATGAGTGTTTACACTGCACAAGGAGTTCCTAGAAATCCCCAAAGCCTGATCCTGCTCTTTGTTTGACTAGCGTCAATTTGGATTAACTCTGTTTAAATCAGTGGTGTTACACTGGTGTAAAAACTCTGAACAGAATTGAGCCCAATGGATGTTCTGGTCCCCACTGTAGTCAGTGGGAGCTCTGTGCATGGGTGGTTTCAACATTATACTCTTAAAGGGGGGAAGGGGTCAGATTTTAATAGCTAGATCTGTTCTTTGGCTGGGCCCAGGCTTACTGAGGGTGTGTGTTCACAGTGGTTTGCGTACAGAAGATGAAACACTGAGGAACAGTGGCAGGTTGGTCCCTACAGCTCAAAAACATTGCAAGGTAAAGCTTATCAAGTGGGTACGTCTCCTTAGCAGCAACTGCCTCCTGAGCAGAGTGGGTGCCTCAAATGTCTTCACAGCTCTTGCACCTGCCCCCCTCTGCTGCAGGTCTTTGTAGGCTGGGGGTAGAATACATGCCTAGAAATCCCCAAAGCCTGGAAACCAAGCTGTGGGCTGAGTGCATCTGTCTGCTTCTCCCCTGAGTGGGCCTGGAAGCTCTGTGACTCCCTGGCTGCTGCAGGGAAGGCATTGTCATGGAAATTGCGGATTTCACACAGGGAAGAACTTTTCAATGAGTTGCTGCAGTTTACTTCATTCTTTTTTTAGAAAAACTGTGCTTGTCAGGAGTTCAAATAACCTTCTTGCTCTGACAAGGAGAGAGGTATTACTTATTATTTGTATTACCCTAGCACTTCAGAGCCCTAGTCGTGAACCAGGAACCCCGCTATGCTAGGTGATGTACAAACATTGCCTCATTTACTTAGCTGTATTGGGTTTTTACATCCTCTTCCTTACACCAGTGTAAATTGTGAATAACTCGATTGAGGTCAGTGAGGAAAATCCAGTTCAGAAGTCTCTATGGACACTGTGTCAGATTTTGATATCCCTTTTTACAGTGGTGTAAATCTGGAATAATTCCAGCCCCTTTTGGTTTTATTTCTGAGTAACTGAGACTTGGTCTACAGGAGGGATTTTTTTTGTACCAGGGTAGCTGTACCTATGCAAAATCTTTGTGGTTGAAACCACATCAGTGCACTGAGTCTACGCTGGAAGTCTTCACCAGGGCATACAAGCCCTGAGTGCAGCTCTGTGGAGAGCTGCATCTGCACAGAATGTGCCTTTTGCTTTGATGATTTTAAAAAAAAGATAAGCCAAGTGTTGAAAGTGGGCCCTGATTTTCCTCTCACTTGAGCTGTTGTAGGTCAGGGGTAATGGAGTTACTCCTGACTTATACAGGGTTGAGAGAGAAGAATTAGGACTGCTGTTTTGAGCCTGAATTCCAGTTCTGGAGAGTACTAAACTTAAACTGAGATCAGTTAAAATTCTGGGCGCACGATGAGGCGATTTGATTCTTCAGAAGAATCAAGTATTGCCTTGATGGGCCAGCAGTTTGATCCAGGCTGCCAAATGATGTGTAGGTCGGGACTGCTTACTCAGAGGTGGTGATGACTGGCAGCTCCTGTTAACATCAGTAGGAGCTGCAGGTGCTCAGCCCTTCTGAAAATGCGTCCCTATGTAGCGGTCCACCTCTCTAAAGCTGTTCTCTGGGCTTTGCGTGCTTTTATAAGGTACATTGTGTAAGGATGGAAGTTCAGACCAGGCATCTGTGCAATTGATAGTTAGATCATGGTAGCTTTGTAGCAAGGAAAGCCATCTAATGAATAACTAACTTTCTTTAGAAGTGGAAGAGGAGGAAAGAGGATGATGGTCTTCGAACTCTGTTAGCAATGAAAATCTGATTGGTCTGAATTGCCTAGCCAGAGAAACTCTATTGCTTTTATTAAAAGGGACCGTGAACTCTTCTGGCTCAAATAGAAGAGCTTGATTCAGCCCAATGAGACTGTAAAACACACCCCATAATCATTGTCTGTCGAGCATGCCGTGTGTGGTGCTTCAGTCCACAGCTCTCTCTCTCATGTATTGTCTCTGCTTGTGGTGACCAGGAATTTCCTCTGCACCTGCTCTGAAAAGCTGGTGTCTCCTAAATGTGTTAGCGTTCATTTATCATTCATAATTACAGCTGCTGCAAATGGGGCTGTGTTCTCCAGAGCTTAAAAGTCAAAATAGAATGGAAGTTAAAAAGAAAATCAAAGTTAAGTAAGTTTACCTGCATCCCAATGCATGATTAGCAGAATTGCCCTTACAGTTCTGAAGGTTGTGTGTCAGAGCAACGGGTCTAGAGATCTCCCAGAGCAATGGAACTTCAGAGAGGTGCTGGCAATTAACTGCCTATCCCAGCAGCCACAGCCAAAGAGCAATCGGAGGGTTAATATTTTACCTATAGTCCCAATTGCAAAACAACATTCCATCCTCTGCCTGAGCTCAGTCTTGTGAGGTCCTGCTCAGCTTCCCGCAATTGGAAATAGGAAATGCAGGGTATTCAGCATCTTGCATGAGGGAGCCCAAGCTCTGGAAAGATGGACTGTTCCAAAGGGAACTTGAACTGTTTGTTTACCAGGGTATTATATGCAAAGTATTTGAGTTCTCTGGGGAACTTCAGGCAGGAGGAATGTAATTCTTCACATTACAGTCTGGCTATGATAGAGGCTTCCACACGCCTGCTCTTGTGAAAAGTGCTGCTGGTTCCTTTGGACACGAAAAGAGAGCCTTGTAATGCAAGTTTACGTGCCTCCGAGGGAGAGACTGAGAAACATCTTTGTGTGCGGAATAGAGCTTGGGTGCTACAATTAGAATTGTAGACTGATTCGTAGAATTCATTCTAGTCCAAATTCTATAAGCTAAGCAATCTCCAAAATGCTACTGTCTGCTATTTCTTATAGCACTGGGCTGTAGCCCATGAAATTTTATGCTCAAATAAATTTGTTAGTCTCTAAGGTGCCACAAGTACTCCTGCTCTTTTTATCAAAAAAATGTGTCCCTGTTCAAATAAACAAGAGTTGTAGTATTATATTGATGCTTTGTATAGTGCCGTATATTTTATTGTCCACCTCTTTATTGATGTACACGTAATGTAGCCATTGCAGCATGAGAGAAATCTTTCTTGAGTGGTAACAGCTAATTTAGACCCCATCATTTCGTATGTATCCTATTGTACTGTCACCAATACTGCTATTTAATGAAACTTGGTAACTAAAATTATGGCACCAACACACCACTGTACAAATGCCTGTAACTGGTTTCTTTTACTGTATACTGTTGTATACTAATCTATAATAACTGAACAATGCACTTTCAGATAAGTAATCTCTAGTTCCTTCGATTCAAGACACAACAGACACTTGGCTTCAGTCCCTTTCTGGGTTATTTGCTCAGCCACTCCTTGCTTGCAGGGATGGTCTTTGATGATGGATTGCTAAGTAGAACTGCCACTCAGACTCTTAATTCATAGCAAGGCAGATTTAATTTAATGAGGGGTTGTTGTCTGCTTATAATTAAAAGGACAGGATGTTAATATCGTGTTCCTTTACATGGGAACAGTAAACATGTTGGAATGACACAGTTTCTAAACTGTATCTGCATCTTCATCTTGAATTGGAGACACAAGGTCTGGTCCAATTTCCATTGAAGTCAGTTGAAATACTCCTGGGCCTGGAATTCCCAGAGGTATTTTGGCTCTTAACTCCCATTGAAATGTATGGAAGTT